TTACCAATGCACTGATTGCACACATACGGACCTGCTCGAGTTTCTCATCGCCTGGCTCGCCAGAGGAAGTGCATCAAGAAGTTGCTTATATAGAAGAGGCGAAGCTTGCTGGTGTCGTACACATACGAGGCAAGACTAGGTTTTACATAAGCAATAGTTGTGGCTGGTTCGATAAGATTCTGCTTGGCTTCTATGAGGTCTTGCACAGTAATTGCAGGTCCGCACTGCCTGCTTTAGGGGTACCGTTGCCACAGCGTATTGAGGTCGGAATGCTTTACGAGGCGTGAGGTGATATGGATGGCTAGTAGTTATGTGTCCAACTTGGTCAGTAACGTGGAATTCTGTCAGATATGGATGGCTTCTGGTTCAGGGATTGGAGGGAGAAGAAGTGGTACTTAACGTGGAGTTTTGTTAGATAAAGTTATGACTACTGACGTGTAAGTTCTTATCTACTTAGATATACAATACGTCTCAATACACTGTCTCCTAGTTCTGCTCTTAGGATGATCAAACAGTTTGTCCCTATGGAGTCTAGTGCTGTACAGTTTGTACGTGGACGGTCCAATGAAGTTGGAACTTCTTGTAGATGGCATTTTGGTTTTGGAATGGGAAATGGTGGGAGACAATAGATGGATATGGAGGAAGTCCTGCATTAATGTACTCAAATCTATGTATGGGTCCTCATCTATATGTTATTTTTCTCTGTTGCTGATCTTCTTTGATCTACTGATCTCATCACTTTTGATCTTGTTGAGTTGGTACTTCATTTAGGGGTTGAATTAGCCAAATTAATTGCATAAAATGGACAAAAGAGATGTCACAAATGGATGTTCAAAGCAACTTTCTTTGTGTTTTTTTCAAGTGGCAGATAAAGGTTAAACCTCTTTCCCAAGTTGAGATTGAAAGGTGTACAATGGAATTAACTGGATCGACTTCAGAGAGAAATATTGAGCATGACAACTTGAAAAATATCTCTCTTATGACAATCTGAGGATCGTAAATCGTTTGTCCATCAAGTGTGCTGTTGATGTAAAAGCTGTAACGTGGTGGACCATATTTTTACCAATTGGTAGAGTGTACGTGAATTCTACCGGTTAACACTGGCAATGTTATAATCATGTCGGACAAGTCTCAAAAGTTACTTTGACTAGATTTGATCAATAGGCGAGCGTATCAGATATAGGGCGTAAAAGTCCTTTTCTTAGCTCCCCTATGACATACAGAACATCAAATTTTTCTTCGTTAAAAAAAAATGTTTTTTAGGAGCGCCAAATCGGCGCTCGGAGCGAAAGAATGAATACATCTGCTTAGATCCACCCAAAATGTGCCTCAGGTCCAACTACTATTGATAATTGAGTACATTCACTTATAATTATTTCACAAACTCAAGCTTAGTATATATGCAGATACTACAGTTGCGTTATCTTCACTCACGATACAGTATCTTGCGTGTCGCCCGGAAGCACCTCCAGTTGAATCAACAATGTGATGCTATCCTGTGCCGACCAAGGTTGAGATCTTCTGTTGGTAATTAACGAAAGGAAGAGTTGTTAAGGTGCTGCTGGCATCGAGAGGCTTTGCTCCATCTGTGAGGTTATGATGAGACAATCGGCCATCTATACCTTGGTTGATCCGAGTTCTTAGGGAAAATTTGGTGCACCGTTATGGTAAAATGAGGAATGCAACGGGTGTCTTTGTAGATGACGTCGAACAATGGCCTTTTGTACTTGGATGTATCTCCTGATGAAAAGGAGTTAGTGTTGACACCTGATTTTTACTCAATTTTTCAAATTTTCTTAAAAATCACAAAATTAGGATTAGGAACCTTGTCCATGCTTAGGAACCTATTTCTAAACCAAAAATAATTTTTTTAGAATTTTTCTGAATTTTTTCTTATTTTCTTTTGGCCAAAATAAGTGAAAAATCAAGAAAAATACCAAATGGAGTTGAAAAAGATTCCATCAAAATAGTCATTAGCTTTATTTTAATTCCAATTTCATCACTGCAGCTTCAATTTTGAAAAAATTCGATTGGGGATATGTTTTTCCCAAAATTGGGCAAATTCACACTCAAATTGAACCAAAAATTCAATTGAGTCATTTATAGTCATTTTTAATCCATAGTGTCTTAACAAAAAATGATTCAGGGACCTTTAGGTAGCGCATGATAACCATTCTGGTTCTGTCCAGAACTGGTTTTCTGTTCCCAGAAATAGCTTTCGACCAGAAACCCGTTTGGTAACGTAATTTCATTTTTCTATTTCTGGAACAACTTTTTGTTCCAGAATCGATTCTGAACCAGAAATCAGAACAAAAAAAAAAGTAGGTTTTCTCTTTCTAGACCAAAAATTAGAATCATTCCTGAGATAACTCTTTCTTCAAAGCACATGTTCATCTGGAAGTCACGATCTTTAAGGTGGGAAAAAAAAGAAAAAAATAAAAAATTTCAAAACTTCACAGAATGGTTTAGAATCTGTGGCTACCCACTTTGAGCGAAATTTAAATATTTTTAGGTGCCGAAAAAAATCAAAAAATCAAAAAATCAAAAATTTTAAAATTTCACAAAATGGCTTAGAATACCTATGGCTACCCACTTTGAGCGAAATTTAATTTTTTTTAGATGCCAAAAAAATAAAAAATAATTTAAAAATCTAAAATTTAAAAAATTCACAGAATGTCTTAGAATATCTATGGCCACCCAATTTGAGAGAAATTTAATTTTTTTTAGGTGCCGAAAAAAAAAAATAAAAAAATAAAAAAATGTGAAAACTTCACATAATGGCTTAGAATACCTGTGGCCATCCACTTTGAGCGAAATTTAAATTTTTTTAGGTGCCGAAAAATATAAAAAAATAAAAAATTTCAAAACTTCACAGAATGGCTTAGAATACCTGTAGCCACCCACTTTGAGCGAAATTTAATTTTTTTTAGATGCCAAAAATAATAAAAATAAGCAAAAAAGCAAAAATTTCAAAACTTCACATAATGGCTAAAAATACATGTGGCCACCCACTTTGAGCGAAATTATATTTTTTTAGGTGCCTAAAAAAATAAAAAAAAAAAGCAAAAAATCAAAAATTTTAAAACTTCACAGAATGACTTAGAATACCTGTGGCCATCCACTTTGAGTAAAATTTAAATTTTTTTAGGTGCCGAAAAAAATAAAAAATAAAAAACTTCAAAACTTCATAGAATTGCTTAGAATACCTGCGGCCACTCACTTTGAGCGAAATTTAATTTTTTTTAGGTGCCGAAAAAAAATAAAAATAAGCAAAAAAGCAAAAATTTCAAAACTTCGCGGAATGGCTTAGAATACCTGTGACCACCAACTTTGAATGAAATTTTATTTTTTTTAGGTGCCGAAAAAAAGAAAAAAAGTAAAAAATCGAAAATTTCAAAATTTCACAGAATGGCTTAGAATACATGTGGCCATCCACTTTGAGAGAAATTTAATTTTCTTTAGGTGCCGAAAAAAAATTAAAAAATCAAAAAAATCAGAAGTTGAGCACCTAAAAAAAATTAAATTTTACTCAAAGTGAGTGGCTAGAGGCATTCTAAGTCATTCTGTGAAGTTTTAAAATTTTAGATTTTTTTATGTTTTTATTTTTTTTTCGGCACCTAAAAATATTTAAATTTCACTCAAAGTGGGTGGCTACATATATTCTAAGTCATTCTGTGAAGTTTTGAAATTTTTGATTTTTTGCTTTTTTTTTCACCTCAAAAAATTAAAATTTCACTCAAAGTGGGTGGCCACAGGTATTATAAGCTATTCTGTGAAGTTTTGAAATTTTTGAGTTTTTGAATTTTTTTGGGCACCTTAAAAAATTTAAATTTCACTCAAAGTGGGTGGCCACATGTGATCTAAACTATTCTGTGAAGTTTTGAAATTTTTGAGTTTTTGAATTTTTTTGGGCACCTTAAAAAATTTAAATTTCACTCAAAGTGGGTGGCCACATGTGATCTAAACTATTCTGTGAAGTTTTGAAATTTTTGATTTTTTGATTTTTTTTTTGGCAACTAAAAAAATTTAAATTTCATTAAAGGTGGGTGGCCACAGGTATTTTAAGCCATTCTATGAAGTTTTGAAATTTTTGATTTTTGATTTTTTTTTGAAAAAATTCAACAAATTTCCTATTTTCCCGAAATCTGAATTTTTTTATTTTTTGGAAATTGTGATGAATTTTTCTAGAATTTTTCAATTTTTTTTGGATTTTTTGGATTTTTTTGAGATTTTTAGGAGTTTTTTGGATTTTCTAATTATTTTTATTCCATTTCTGAAAAAAAATGGATTTTTGTTCCTGGAAATAGAATTTTGTGTTGCTTATCAAACGGGTTTTTGTTTCAGGAAATAGAAATTTTGTGCTGTTATCAAACGGGTTTCTGTTCCAGAAATAAAAAATTTTGGTCGTTATCAAACGGGTTTCTTTTCTCAGAAACTCATCATGGAACCAGAAATAGAAAAATCTATTTCTGTTTAAGGAACTCATTCTGGAACAGAATGGTTTTCATTCGCTACCTTAATTGCATATTGGCTGGCCCAATTTTACAATTTAACAAAATAATTGAAAAACTCCAAAAATCAATTGAAAATTAGGGATTTTAAGCCCAAATTGGGGATCTTGGTCAATTCGAAATTATTGAACCAAGGCATCACCATTCCTAGGGTTAATCAGTCATGGGTAATCTAATTTTGGTATCAAGTTTTCCCAATCAGATCATCTGGATACTGAATTGAACAAAATCCCTATTGTCCGAATTTAAAATTTGGGGATTTTGGGTTTAATTGTAATAAAAATTGGTACAAATCTCATATTTGAATGAAAAATGTGCTGAGAAATCCAATTTTGAGGTTAAATTTGAAAATTTGTGTCAAAATCGGGCTTAATGTGCAATTTTAGACCAACCGGGGTATTCCGGGTCGGATGGATCGACCCGACCCGACCCGGGTCGGTCATCTTCTTTACCCAGTTCAACCCCACACATGAAAAAATCTGGAAAATATCTTCCCGACCCGCTACTTCGCCGACTTACCCAGACCATTTGGGCACGTGAAAAATAGTTTTACCAGCAGGGGAATCTCCAATTAGCATTGGAGATTCGATGTAATAAACTCGGAGGTCGGTGGGAACAAATTTTTTGCCGGAAATCGAGCTAGAATAAGGAAGAAAAACATTATCCCGCGCAAAGAACATGCTCGATGGAAATTCTGAGAGAGAGAAAGAGAGATTTCTAGAGAGAAAGGGAGTCGAGGCTCCCAAGACCGAGCGATCGACGCTTTTCCGACTGGAAAAGCGCTGGCGAATCAGCCTAGACAATGGGCCTCCTCACATGAGACGATCGGTGCAAGCTTGGTCGCCAGCGCCTGAAAATCGAGCTCGGCCGACGTGTTCAGGAGCTCCCCGACGAATCTGAGGCCATCAGCTTGGATCTCAAGCGTTGAGGAAAATCTCTACTGTGGTTGATTGTCTCGGAAACATCATTTTCACCTTCAACGAAGCAGGTAAAATCAACTCACGATCATAGTTTTACAAGATTCTAGATTCTGTGTTTAAGCTTGGCCATGCTTGTTCGTGCTATTTTCTTCATGATTTTGAGTCTCTTGATGTTTAAAACTTGATTATGACCATAAGTCTCATTGTTTGATTGCAAAACTTGGACTGAAAATGCATTTGACCGAGTCGGCCATCCTTAAACCACTTCGCCGGAGCTCCTGAATCTCGCCGGAGTGCTTCCCGTAGTCCATAGTCACTCAAGTTAGTCGTTCTTGACTATGTTTGATGATTTAATGATCATTTTGATCGACATAAACGGTTAGGGTGTTAGATTAGTGATCTCAAAATTAGAAAAAACAGGATTAGAATAGTTGCAGATTAACATTTTTAGGCTCAATTTTCACCGGCCGGCAGTGGTCCGGCGGCCAGCTGACTAGGCTAGGTTGTTAGAGCTTGATAATTAGTTGGTGTAGAGCTCAAGATTGGCATCGGAAATTCACCGGAAGGTCGTTGGAGATCGGTTCAAACCGGCGGTCTCGAAAACCTTAAAACTTGGTTCACGCCCACCATATGCTCAGTGAAATGTTGAAGAGAAGAGAAGGAAGAAACGGCGGCGTTTGGCATCGTGTCCACCGGAGCGTCGGCCTACGCCGGTGCCGGCAAGTCGGACCGGTCGGAACGGGTTTAGTCCGGTTCGCTTTCTTGGCGAGAAAATTTAAAAATATATATATAAAAATATATAAAAAGATTAAAAAATCATAAAATAAATCATAAAATCTAAAAATCTAAAAAAATTCATAAAATCTAAAAAAAATTGGAAAATCAAATAAAAATTTTTAGAAAATCATAAAAAAAATTAGAAATTCGGAAAATTAGAAATTTCATAGAAAATTAATAAAAATCAGAAAATTTCCGAAATTTCATAAAAAATTCTCAAAATATCCACAAAAACGAGAAAAATCCAGAAAAATCCATAAAAATTATCAGAAAATAAAAAAAATCAGTTTCCGGGAAACAAAATTCTCAGAAAATTTTTCCCAAGAAAAAAAAATTAAAAATCTCAAAAATTCACGGAATGACCCAGAAACCTTGTGGTAAAGAATCGGAACCGGAACTGGACCCAGAACCGGAACCGGAACCGCAAGCCTAAAACAAATCAAAACCCTAACTTTCTTTTTCTTCCCAAATTTCCCCTTGGCTCCTCCATTGCGCTCTCTCTCACTCCCCACACCCACGACTCGACGAGACCCTTTTGCCTCTCCTCACTCCGTTCGGCGTCCGCCTCGGCTCTTCCTCTGCCTTCATCAACCGCGGTCCGGCTCATCCGCGGCGGAGGTGGGCTTTGTTTCAAGGCTTCAAGCGACATCCTCTGTCTTCGTCTTCGTTCGGGCTCACACGTCGCCGCACGCGCACCGTCTTGAAGATATTGGATAAAGAGATATTTGACTTTTGCAGCTCAGAGAGAAGATATTGGATAAAGAGTTGCGGAATCGGGTGTATGTGTTCCCTTTGTAGATGCTCTTTGTATGTCTTGCATTACTAATAAAGGAACATGTTCTATCTATGTCATAAATTATCTATTTATCACTTTAGTCCCTTCCCCCTTTTGTGTTCTTTTTAAGTGTGACACTTTGGGGATTTCATTTCCTAATCTGGTTTATTTGTTGCTTCTTACCCTGTCACACGAAGTCTTCTCCTCTCACTTCAATCGAATCAGAGTTATTACAATCTCGTTATTCATCCTTATAAATTGGTCCATTTTGTGAATGTGTCTGCTCACTTGTAGATCTAAAAAACCCCGAGGTAGAGCTCCCCCCATCTCTCTCTCTCTCTCTCTCATGTTTATTTGACATCTTTTATTGCAGATTTCTGTTCTTGTTGAGCTGCTACACCTTTCGGTTGTTCCGAGTGGGTTGAAGATTAAGATTGAATTGGGTGAATTAGGTTCGTTAGCATTGCCCTTTTCTTCCTTCAACTTCCTATCTTATTTTTAGTGCATAGTTGCGATTTTCATTATGTACGCCGGTCTCTTTGATGTTGCGGATGGTAATTTGTTCTCGCATTGTTTGCTTGACCTGTGTTGTTTGCTTGACTTATTAAGCTAACATGTCAATGGAGGTGGAGTGATGTGAGGAGATGACTCCGATCACAGAATTGGAATTGTCGAGCAATGAAAATGAAGGAGAGCCATCCCATACCATGAGTGCGACAAACAAGGTACTTGGTCTTCCTCTTCCTCCTTGTGATAATAAGTATACATCCGATTGTTAGAATCATTACGAGAGAATCAAAGATAAGGATGGAAAAACATATAAGGTGAAGTGCTTTCATTGTAAGTCTGTGTTAAAGTACCGTGTTGCTAACGGTACTTCCACAATGAGAAAGCACTTGACAACATGCAAGAAATTTCCTCGCAATGTAGATAAGAGGCAGAAATTCTTTGCACCATGTAATGTAGGTGTGGCTGGTAAGACAGAAACAGTGAGAGATTCGAGTACTAGTAGTGTCTTATCGACATGGTCGTTTAATCAAGAACGTTCTAGGGAAATGCTTGCTCGGTTCATCATAATTGATGAACAGCCTTTTTCCTTGGTTGAGCGTGATGGATTTCGTGAGTTTGTCACTGAGTCGCAACCTCTCTTCAAACATTTATCATGCTTTACAGTGGCTAGAGATTGCATGAAGCTGTATTTCTGTGAAATAACTTGTTTGAAGACTTACTTTAGTAAGATTAATTCTAGGATCGCACTCATGACTGATACATGGACTTCCATTCAAAATTTGAATTATTTGTGTCTCACTGCACATTTTATTGATGAAAATTGAAAGTTGCATAAAAGAATCATCAATTTCTGGCTTTAATGGCCAGAAGTGTTCTTTTATAACAATTTGCATTAATGAATTGTTTATTTATCGCCATGCATGTCTTCATGGATCTGCATGCCACTATTTAATCTTTTAGTGATGCTTTTGAGGTTCATCTGCTTTGAGTGTATAAAAGTGACATGTCGAAAACCATAGACTTGCTGGGTCCAATCTATTATTGTAAATGCACATTATTTTCTCACTAGTGCCTTCTGCGCAATTTCTGTATTTGAGTATGGCCCGATGCTTTGAGTATTATCACATGACCTCTGCTTTTTACTTTTCTCTGTGCAAGATGGTATACATACGTCTAGATAGCATTCATTCCATTCATTGTGAGTTACCTGTTCTTTTCCCCTTAAATTTATTGCGCATGTCTATATTCATGGTAGCCATTTATGTAAAAGCGAATATATGGCCGTGATTAATGAACTAAAAATGGAAAATATGAAGCAGGTGCTGGAAAGCTCTTTCTAAATTGTGTTTTCTGCAAGTATGGGTGAAAATTTTAAATAAAAATTTGATGGAGAATCTGACTAAGTTTGTCACTTAAAAGGTCTTATAGTTAGGATTAACTCTCATGTGAGGATGGAATGATAGGCCACATTGAGAATGTGAAGTGTTTTTGATGTTTTAAGATTCATGGATTTAGTTGGTACTTAAGAAAGTGGTTTTAATGTTCAACCAAAAAAACAAAAAAAGAAAGTGGTTTTAATGGATTATGCCCATAACAACAGCTTCTGTAAATGCCGTTCAATTTGGATGAAAGTGATAGGTTTTCCCTGAAGAGTAGCTAGTGTGTTGGACTAATATTGAAAGAAGTCCATGGTTTTATTGGTAACTTTGCTTTAGCCTTTAAGGATGCTTTTTTAACACTTTGTTGATAAGGGATGTGCCGTGAGCCATGTAGGTAGCTGGATTTGCTTCGCCCTTATCATGTTATTATTATTAACATTCCGCTTCCTATTTGACCCAATTATCGACGCTCAGTTTCCGTGTTTCTCCTTTTTCTACCTTGCTTTTGTTGCCAGTGGTTCTCTTGGAGGTTTGATTGCCGCTACACAACTAATTCCTTTCAGTATTGCAGGTGGTGGAGGAGCTTGGAGGAGCAACTTGTTTTGATGACCATAAACAAAAAATTTTCTACTTTGGAGGAGCTTGGAGGGGAGCATGTTTTGTACTTTTTGTTGAGAAAAATGTAGCATCTTGCCATGGAATTAAAGTCATGTGTTGCATCCCAACAATTACTATTTGTACATTCTATCCCCTTTCTATTAAGCGAAATATTGCTTTCCAATAACTAGTCATTGTTGCGTCTATTTTCATTTTGTTTAACTAAAAATGAAATTAAAAAAAGAACCTAGAACCGACCCTGGAACCTGTGACATGGTAGGTTCCAGGTTCCGCGTTTCGAAGGGTAGGTTCTAGGTTCCAAAAAATAAGGAACCTGTACCCGAGGGTAGGTTCTAAGTTCCAGGTGGAACTTGTGAGGAACCTGTAACCACCCACCCCTAGTGGCCACCCATCAAAAGTGAAATTTGAATTTTTTAAAGTATCCAAGTGACATAATTGAGAACTCCTCAGTTTAGGGGTAAAACAGGGATCTCAACCACTAAAAAACCCTAAAACAGCATAATTCATTGAACAAATAAGTCATTAGGGCTTCGTTAGGCATTGAATGTTTTGAATTGCCTTCCTTTTAGAGATAACTTATGATTGCTTTGATTGATTGACATTGATTGTCCAATTATTGATTGATTGATAGCCCACGATTAGAATGGTTAGAATTAGTGAGTAGATCTTGGAAAGTCGTGTGACACGTTAGATGCATTGTATCGTTTTAGATACCGAAAAGGCCTTAGTGATCTCAATTTGAGATTATTAACGTAACCAAGTCCCCTTACTTAGAATCTCTGGTTCGCAGAATCGTGGTATTTCTTACATACCCCGATTAGATTTCTAGTCAACCTACCAATAATGACTAATGGCGACTCCAAATTAAAACTAGACTAAATAGAAAGATAAAAAAAACCACAACCCGCTGTCACGTGAAGTATGGTCTGGGAGAGGCCTCTGTTTGTCTAGTGATGGAATGTTTGTAAGACGTTTGGGCAAAATATCCGTATCGGACTTTAGTAGCCATTCGGAAAGTTTCCCATTCGTAAAAAATGGAAGTACCTCCTTAGCATATGAGAGCACGGCACGACAGTTAGGAGTTAGGATGTTCAATGTGGAGTACTCTTCGGATGGTAAACCTGCCGGGATCATCTTGATCGGAATGTTACCCAAGATCACAAGGGTGATGTCCGAATGCCAAAGCCTTTAAGTTATTCACAACACATTGTCCATCTAATTTTTTCTCTTGTCGATCCTCAATTTTTCGTCTCCAAATCGAGTGCAACTCTACCGTGTTTATAGCTCTCTCTGTTGCTCTTCTCACTAAGCAAACTGCTCGATCAAATGAAAGATGAACAAGGGAAAACAAAGAAACAATAGTACTAACAAAAGGACAGCTATAACCACCCGCCTGGGTGACGCTGCTGGAAAGGGCACTCTTCCTCTCGCAAAAGGTTGAGTATTCGAATCCCGGGCGCCGCAGGGTGACTTAACCGGTACACGTGTGTGATGGCTAGCACGTGTCGCCCCCAAGGTTTACCTCCCGGCTGTCGGCCGTGCGGGGATTCCCTGGATTACCAAAAAAAAAAAAAAAACAAAAGGACAACTATAGAGTGAACAATGCTTCGACTTTGCCACTTATATCTCCTCGAATGTCTTATTTCTTCATTCCCTTAATTTTCTTTTTTTTTTTTTGTTATCATTTATTGTGATCTTTCTTACAATGCAAGCATCTGTAAGAGGAGTGTTGGCGCGACAAAATTTACATGCACTAGACAATGGAAGCAATTGTTTACAAACGTTGATTACGATGTCGAAAAGGAACTTCCTTTCCTCTTTCAAGAAGCTTGGCGGAATGAAAGTCGACTGGGCGAATCGATTCTCACGATGACTTCTTCGGCTCCGTATTCGTCATCGCTGGAGTCATCCGCATGAGTTTCCAACGTGTCTGTGCTCTGCATCTGAGGTTGAGGAGCTGGTCTAGTGAACTTCCTCACCTCGAGGCTCTTCCCTGCAGTAGCGGCCCCTTCAGATTTGACTGAGATAAGCGGTCGATTGTGGTTCAAAGGAATCCTTGGGTACGACTGGCTATGTGAAGTCTTTGGCTGGCTTGGTCTGACGAAGCTTCGATTTCGGACACGAACATCCACCTTGTGAATTCAGACAAGGTATAGTTAGTGCTGACTGCTGAGTGCAGACACGCAGCTGAGACTCAAGTTAAAGAATTCACGATTAACCCAGCATTAGAACTCAATGCAGAGGAAAAAAGGAAATCTAGCCCCTTCCACACAGGCTTCGATATACCATCATCCTAAAAAGCTTTCACTATCAAGAACTTTCCCAGTCAATAGTCTCCAGAACTATGCAACTATAAGCTAGGTGGAAAGAAATCGACCATACCATACTGCCATAGACGCTCAGCTGCATTGCTCTGGCAGACATACTGTTTGCTTGGTGATTATTTTCTTCATGGCTCTGCCCATGTTGCCTAGCCTTGTAGAAATGTTTTGGCCAGCTCATAAGACCGCCATGTTCTCGACTGTGGGTTCTGAGGGGGTGATCTACCGAATGAGGAACCAATGTAGATGATCTTGGAAGAGCACTGTCGGCTTCAAATGCAGCAACATCAAAAATAATAACCCTAGCTCTAGTCTCCACGAGATACGAAGATCCTTGATGGGAGAAACTGACCGTCCTAATTCCTGTTTCCCATTAGCATAAATAAAAGCTTTAGTAGCTAAACACATCAGATTAGTACTTCTCTCCATGATACACTATTTATGTCTTTGGTTTGCAATGGCCTCACCAAATTGGCAGTCAATGACATTGTAACACACCATTTACGGAAGCGAAATTAATATACTATTGCCAAAAATCCATGGAAACAAATTCATGAGTTGGCTTCTCCATCAAAACGGCTCGGTAAGCTCGGGGAAGCATATCGCTGTTCCTAACTGATATGTGGTTGTAGAAACTAACTGAACCTTTTAATTACAGATTACCTTCTTTACTGTGTCCAGCTAAAATAGAGTATCACTTTCTTGTGAAAAGAAAGAAGTTGGCTAGGCTACCACTACCCTCATAGCTAAGGTACGCTATATCTAAGAGTTGCAGTACATGAATCTGCAAACAGCAGTAGAAAGTTCGCATCACTGAAGTATTGAAGAAGAAATTGCAAGAGTCAAGGGCTTCAGAGTTCTGCTCAAAAGATACCGGAATCAATCAAAATTGAGTACAATGATCTGGTGACACACTACCCAACAGATAATAGATTAGGTTACCTGATGTATCTGGACTTCGAAAACTTGAATTCCCATGCGAAGGCCATAGCGCCGCTGGCGATGTAATCAGTTCTTCCTCAACACCTTGTGTTTTTATAAATCCTTCTAACAAAAATCCAATGGAATGTTGAGGTAGTTCTATAGTTTCTCCTCTAATGTATATTGTCATTTCTGACCTTTCGGCAACAAGAGCTCTCAGTTCTTGCATTGCCATTTTCTCAAATACTTGAGGAAGCAAGAGCTTTGCAAGAATGATAGCACTTTCCTGCAAGTAAATATACTAAGCTATATATCCTTGATCATTCGATGAAAAATTAAATACCATTCCTGGATTATTACTAAATAGTAAAATAAGCAAACCATCATCCAGAAAAAAGCGATATCTTATTCACAATGAAAAGATGTCTGTTACTCGATGACAGAGATCTTGATGCAGACATTAAGTCCCTAGAACAGATATCAGACATACGCTTCTGCAAGCTCGCTAAGGGAAATACATAGTAGTCATACCTGCCAGAGGAAATCTTCTACTGAAGGATCTGACCGAAGCACCGAAAGTATCTTTTCAGACTCCAGAAAGAAACAAAGAACAACAGAATCTGTAATCATGTCACAGATACATGGTTTCCCACTCAACACTTCATACAGGCCCAGCGTACTACCATATGTAAAAGTTGGATGCAATGAGTGCTTGTTTCTTATACTCTTACTACTCCACTGCCAAAGATCCGCAAAAAAGCTATTAGAACAAAAGAAATAGATCTTCAACTGAATAAGTCGGAAAATCCATCTTGCCCATGCTCTATAAACTTACCTTGACTACCCCATTAGATATAAGCCAAATACCATTTGGCTTGGAGCCCTCTCTGTATAGCGTCACACCACGTAGTTTTATTGTCTCCTTGGTTGAGCCTTTGAGTGGTTCACTGACTGCAGAAGGAAGGGCACCCAGCAAGGGATGCACGCTAACTAAATCACCTGTTTTGGGCATCTTAACTAAAGGAGGATTTCTCAGAAGTTTCTTCAAGTCGGTCTGTGTTAAAAGTACGTACTCTTGTGAGCTACGGAGTATCAGATGTCACAATTAATGGAAGGCTACTCAAATGTACCTGCACTGCATCATGGAGATGAAGCATCTCTTTCTCTTCCAATAACCCAACCTTCTCAAGATTTTGGACATAATCAATCAAATGATTCAGCACGGAATAAGTAACCTGTCTCGTTTTAACCACACGGAGAACCTGGTACAGTTTCCAATATGAAAATCAATCAGATACATAGACTATCACATCAGCAGTCAATGCATGCACATCCAATAAGTTTGACTAGTAACGGAAAGCTAAAAGACAGAGAAGAGCAAGAGATTCACACTTACTAACCTGAGGAAATGTTACACGGACATCTTCCAGAAAATTTTTGGCTTCTTCTCCTTCTGCCTCGCTTTCACTGATGACAGTAGAAGCCACATCACTATCACCTAATGGACAGAGACCGAAGAAATTAGAACTCTTTCCGAAGAAAAACCCCATAAACAGATCTATTATATATATCTAGGAAGCAGTACCAAACAGAAAGAGTAACACGTTCACTGCCAGGGTTTTAGTATATGTAGAGTAAAGAGAGCATCCGGTATGCTGCATTACGGTCATAAATGCTTTCTGCTGTGTTTTACCTCAACAGTTAGAATCCACTTTTTCTAAATAAATTTCCTTATATGATCAAATTGAAGTATAAGGACAAGTTGAAGAACAAATTCCATGATAAATTATAGAAACAAACCCTGTTTCTACTAGTCACGTTGGCTTTATTGATGCATTTACACCATTGTGCTTTGTTTAATACTATAACTTTTCTGCAAAATCCAATTACTAATGGCCGTTCCAAAGTGTTTGTTCAAGCATTTTTGAGTCTCCACGTACTTCTTTAGCTCGAGTGCCCTTCATGAAGTTTTATATCCTCAATCAGACTCTAAAGGGTCATTGTCACTTGACGGGCTGAGGGGTTACCAAAATACCCCATTTCTCTATCAATCCATAACCAATATACCACGTTTCTCTATCAATACCTACAGATAGAACTTTCTATTTTAATGTTACATCAGAGATTTGGAACACCAAAATGGGTATTGCCCATGTTCCGATATAAAACCATGTTACTTTCAACCGATATGTTCTTTATGATAATTCGTGTTCAAAAATAAATTTCAAAATCTTTATGTGGGCATGCATCTTAACGTCTTATTCATGATTTAAGTGTGTACATTAATTATATTATCTTCAACATAACTTTACTATCTGTTCTTATTCCAACTAGACGACCAAACGAAGCTTGGCACCATCATAACACATTCGTGACAAGGGATGTAGCGAACCATGCACTACGTAGCCTTCCAGACTACCTCAGGCAAGACATCTCATTTAGATTGCGCAAACCAACTTTCTTTGGTGCTTTTCTTTTGTGCACATATTCATTTGGAGCTCTATTTATTCTTTGAAATGCCTATATATCCATCAATTTCCATCATATTTGATACACTCATTTGTGCTCATGTTGGTGCTTACTGCTCTAAAATCTGACATTAAAATACATTTGCCTTCTTTGCACTCCAAGCGCAATTGTCTTTAAGTTTAGGTAGCATCTGGCATGACATACCGTATGAACTTCTCCATTTCATCAGTTCCACTAGTATAATGGAAATGGCATCTCTACCTTTCTCTCCATCTTCTTTATAATCCAGTTGGTATTTCCTAGCCTCGCATTCTCATTATAATCTATTAATGCATCCCACTCCATATACTGTCTTGAACCTACTAAGAGAGCTCTTGAATCCCCAGTTTTTCATACATTATTCAAGTTTACATTCAATCATGCTCATTTTCATCTACTAACACAAATCAGTAGCAAAAAGCACACATCAGCAGAGAAAAGGACCTAGACTGATTGTCCCTTTAGAGAACACAGAAGAAAGAACTTACAGCAAAAGGCTGCATAAGGCCCTTCTCAAAGTTCTTAGTTTTCGCTTTACCATTGCATGGAACATATTTTCTTCTCATAAAAGTTTGAATGTCAAGCATCTAATTGTTTATTTTTTTTATATCCATCTTACTTGAAGTTCTCCCCCCTCACCCAACACACCCCCCCCCCCCCCAACACACCCAATTAAAATAAAATAAAAAACCTTTCTCTCCCCATGTCCTCAATCCTGATATTAATCTGCATGTGCATGTGAAACAGATTGGTATTTGACAATGATGCAGGCACTGCCCTTTCTGTCATACCAATTCTGGATCTTATACCCAGTACAGTAGTCACTACTATATACAATTTTTCATATTTAGTTGAGGTTCCAATCCCCATTCAGTCTTGATAGAATCAAAGGAATACAGATATTTGCCATTTTAATGATTACAATCATTCATAGACTGTCATAGTTTATTATCATGCACAGAGTGCGACTAGTTTATCATTTTTCATTTGGTGGTTGTAGTAGTCAAGTGGTATCTTAGGCCAACTTCCATGCACTACATATAGTAAATACTTGTTTCTGATCATGACTCACTAAAGTAAGTTTTCATTGATATGGTAATCTTGGGTGAACTTATCAAATTTTGAAGACGCACTAGGATGACAACGTTTATCAAAGAATAAAAAAATTATTGCTCTCACAAATTCTCCGAGACTTTAAAGGCTTCTTTAAGAAAAAACAAAAAAGCCATCCATTTCAATATTTCATTAACTAATCAGTTTCACTTCAAAGCCTAAGGACAAATTAAAATTATTAAACTTGTAATTTAGCTAGTCAGCTGTTGAACCAGTGGATAAGAAAATGGGCTGGGCAGTCGTATACGGCCTAAATAAAAGATTACTTGCTATGATGCAGAGACTTTCTACAATATGCAGGAAATGGATGAGAGAAAGAGAAGCATTTCTCAGCTAAAAGTTGAGCATTTCCCATATAGATTATACCTATAAAGTCATGTAGTTGTCGACGCGCAATTCTATGGGCACGAAGAAAGGCCGCACAAATATAACATGCAGACTCCAACCTTTCCACAGTGAAGTATGTAACCAATTTCGGTGGACAGATGCTTTGAAGAAATCTGTAGTAATTTGGGAAATGAACATGGGACTTTAAGCCTTTCCAATCACACAGAGGCTCGTGAGAGACCATATCAATTGCTTCATCCACTGACTGCATCATTATGTTTGCAGTAGTTTGTGTGATCCTTCCTTCATCTAACATACCCCAGTAAGCAGCTTGGACACCTGAAATTAAGAATTGTTTAGCAATACTGGAAACATCAACATCTATGCTCCCAAAAACATCTGTGAAGTGTATTGCATTAGAACAATCTAGGAAATGTGGTAGTGAAAGAAGAGTATTTACTAATTGCTTTTTGTATAGGATGATGTAATCCAAAAACTAGTGCCAAAAAAAAATGGCCGAGCTTAAACAAGCAATATATACTAACCAAAAGAACAAAAGAATTTTCAACTAAGAGTTGAAGCATTCATTAAGGTAGGAGGTCTATGGTTTGAGAAAGTAAATCAAAAGAAAAGTACTCATCAGTGACTATGCTTAGGATGTCAATGGACAACAATCTTTATTATACAAAAGCGCTATTACAAAGATGATATGCCAATTCATTACAAGTTCTCACAAAATTACTTTAACAATCCTATTTTAAAAAAAAGAATACTGTCATAAAATTCGAACAATACAAAGCTTGTAGACAGTTGGATCAGTTAAACCTGCTGGGTCAATATGAGGTAATGTCACCAGGTAAATATTAGTATACATAAACTCATGCAGCCATTAACACGAATCTTGCCCAGCAAAATGGCAAGGACAAAGTCCTTCAATCCTCAAGGTAACATGTTCAGCATTCCTCCCGCATCTTTTATGTTTTATGGATGTGAAGCTTGTTAACTTAGCAATATTAAATACTGACATGTAAAAAGAAATATTGTATTTGGTGCAGTGGTTGAGGCATGTCCAAAGCTTCAAGAAATTGGGCTTCAAATTCATACCAAACAAATCCAAATTTACATTTTTGAAATGGTCAAGATGTGCTCATACTAAATTGACCAATTCATCAGTTTGACCAGCTTCGATCGGAATGCAATTATTAATTTAAGACGAAAACTGGACCACCAACCATTTTCAGGTTCAACCTATTGAACCGGCCAAGCCTGTCCAGTTCTGTTAATACTATATAAACTAAGCATAATGCATACTCCGCCCAGCAATAAAAGTTTACTGATCACTATCTAAGGCATATTAAACAGGGTGTCTATAACAGCTTCACTGGATAAGTATGTCGACCTTTGCAGCATCAAACCCATCTGTCGAAGAGGTGAAAGCTGAAGAAGTCATCAGCAGATATTTTCACAGTAAAGGGTGAACAAACAAAGTGGATCATCTTCTTTTGCTTTGCTCTTGCATTAAAATTATGGGTCAGAACTTTGTCACTGTTAGAAGTTGCGGGCAGCAGGTTCTGTGGGAAAGAACTTTGGCATAAGATGTAAGAGTTACTGAAGGAAGAGAAAGTTTCATATCCAATCCCCTCAACCATTTTTCAGCTGTTGTTGAGTTGAAAAAAGAGGAGAGCCTGTGACGATATAGTACCCAGTTGACTCTAATTTCGGAGATTTGGTGTAGCGAACATTCTGTTTGGCTCCCCTCAATCTCACCAAAGGAAATTTTATTAATGCAGCATGCACCTAGTTCAACCATTAGGATTTTCTATCAGTTTATTTAACGCCAACCAGACAAGCCTCTTCTTTGGTCACCATCCTATCCATGTTTTAATGAAAAAATGGTGTAAAACACAACAAGCTTAACAAGCAACAGTGATTGCTGATACGCATGGTGATTTTGCCTCTCTGAAGTCTAAAATTAATAATGGCATGCAATGGTGAGACTCAGGTGGCTGCAGGAAAAAGCAAATATGTTAAATGAAAAATATACCATTCAAGAGACGAATTCGTATGTCTTTCAAATTCAGAGGGTCAAGATCCGCATCACTTTCAGACGCAGTATGAGGGTGCACTTGTTCCCCTTCCAAGTTACTTAGGCTCGTAATATATCTTTTCACAGTAGGCCAGTCAGCAGGTCCTAGTTCTTCATCGTCTCCAAGATCACCAAAAGCCTCCAAGGCTTTGTTCAGCATTTCATACTTTGTGTACTCCAATATGCGTCTCTGTCATAGATACCAGAGTAAAATAAGTACACCATAACGGAACAACAGACTTTTAAGCTTTGTGGGAATGGAAAGGTCAAATTTACTTATAGAAATGAAAGTTAATAGGAATTCCATGGTCAGCTAAAGCTAAGGTCTACTGCCATCTTTTATGTATGCCGGAGACCTTTTCTTCCACCTTAAAGACAGTATCTTTGTTCGTCAAAGTACACTGAAAGGCTGTCCTTTTTGCTTTAGATGTCACCACTAGGCATTGACTCAAGTAGACTATCAGTTCTAAGAACATCATCTTCCTATTTTTCACCAAAAACCGGGGGAAATCAAAATATATTAGTTGAAAATACATTGAATGAGAAAACCATCAAGAAAAGAACAAGTAGGAGGAATCTCCACCGACCGTCGATACATTATAGTATCATATGCTCGATAAAGTAATCTCAAATTTCAAGCATTAACCATAGTCATTATTGTTTGAAATGATAAAAAAGAGGATAAGATACCATGTTCCTTTTGTTTTTGGCCTCAAGATAATAAACTGTTCAGACTAAATTAAAATTCACCTTAGCCGATGATAGCTTGTCCATGCCAAGAAGATGCAAAACAAACTGTGTTGTTGATCCATTTACAATAAGAGTTAAGAAGACAATTCCACCAGTGAAAAAGACAAACTGCAAGAAGTAAAAAATCACAGTTCATATCCATGTTTTTCAGAATTTATTATTTAATCGCATCATATATCTGATGTAACATACCAGAGTCCCTGTTTTAGTACTGAGAGATGCTGAGCTGCCACTAGAGCCCTATTAAATAATCAGAAAAGAAGAAAAGTTATGAACAGGAGAACGGCATTATAACTTATAAAATAGTCAATGTTGAAGTATTATCCCACATCGATTGACAATGGGTCCTAAATGTTCTTTATATTCATGCGGTCTCCCTCTTCCTAAGAGCTTAAGCTTTTGGATTGGACTTTCTAACATGGTATCAGAGCCAATGCTATCCCTTTCGCGAATGTGCATGGTAAAAATTCCATGTGAATGTGCGATGTCAAAATTTCACATGCTGCTCATAATCCGGCTTGCATATATCGCAAAATTTCACGTGTTGTTCGTAATCCGACTTGCATGTGAGTGGTGGGGTTGTTGAAGTATTATCCCACATCGATTGACAACAGGTCCTAAATGCTCTTTATATTCATGTGGTCTCCCTCCATCTAATAGCTTAAGCTTTTGGGTTGGACTTTCTAACAGTCAAAAATGCAAGGGTCAAGAACAAAATATAAGGAAAAATTGCATGTGGGATAATGGGGCTCTTCCTTGAATTTTACTTGAGACACTACAATTCCAGATGTTAAAGAAGAGACTTGATTGTGATCTAGGCATTGCATACTTATATCCACCATATAACAGCCTACTGTCACATATTTATCTTTTAAAAGATACAAGGCAAGCAATTCAAGCAATCAAGGACCTAATTCAACTTTACACTAAGTTGATTGCATTTTGTGGACCTCAATAAAATTTATCAAGTGGCAACTGCAGGTGCGGTGTTGAGTAATCTTTAGGCCGTTATCCAATTAATTATTTGGAAAACAATCTATGACTCCATATTTATTATTTTCTTGGCAAACTCAAGGTGGCACTTGACCATTTTCTTTTATTGGTAAGATTTATGGAGCAGCATAGGTCTGGTGCTCCTTCCAGGGATTGATCCCTGGTGGTGTCCCTGATACTCAGTTTCACCTTGAGTACAACTTTTATCCTTACCCAAGTGAACCTAGTGCATTCATCCTCATAAAGCTGCCACCCACACACACATAAACTACATTTGTCCCCCTTAATTGGATAACTACCCTGTTACTCCGCCTCCATCAATTATTTGACATCAATAGTAATGTGCATCAGCCAGCATACTACTGTCTCTGAATCAACTTTTTTTTGCCACTATCAACCGTGCTACCTCCTTTACCATCATTGCCTCTCTCATTAGTGCCAGTACTGCAGGTGTCAGTGTGGCCAGAGCAGGTGCTAATAAGGTAATGCAGGAAAAAATGTGCTGTCACCAGGGTAGGAATGGATAGAGGTGCTGTCGGCAAAGCTGAAGATCTTGGAGTTGGGATGGCTGGTATTTGGTGCTTCTGCCTGTGCTGGTGTTCACAGCAGCTGATACACCAGTGAGGCTGAGGCTAATGCAGCAACTGTAGTGCTGATCCTAATTATGATGATGGCAGTTCTGGTGGTTAAGACCCTGGCCTCATTATCCTTTCTGTGGTGGTGGCAGAGTGACAAAGAGAGGGTAGTGATGGGAAATCGATTGCAACAGTAATGCTTGCAATGCTGACCAAAACTTCTCTGGTTGATGATAGTCAGCGCAAGGATTTTAGTTCTTTCAACAGGAGTATGTAGTCATTCATTGAGCAGGATGCTCTGGTCCCTGTACGTTACTCATCTAACTGGTTAGTTAAGTTTAGTTCAGACAGGAGTATGTAGTCATTCATTCAGCAGGATGCTCTGGTCCCTGTACGTTACTCATCTAACTGGTTAGTTAAGTTTAGTTTAGACCCGGTTAAGTAGAAAAGGCCTTCTTACATGACAAAATTAGTGTTAATATTTGGTTAATGAATGATTTAGCTGGACTCTCATCCCCCAAGTCGTGACAGAGGTATTGTGTGATATCGGAAAGAGATGGACGAAGAGAAGTAAAACCAAAAATGATGACTATTTAATCTGAATCATCATGCTACAGCTGTCTGGCAAACTAATTCCACTGATGCTGAAAAGCAACTCAAGAGTTCTTTACAAAGTCAATGAGTCACTCTATGTGATGTTACTTGATTAGTACCTTTTTTACGCGTCCCTATACAATGTAGTGGAGCATGTTCATATCCCCAGTACATCACTTAGTAAACAAAGTTGAGTAAAATGTTTTGGAATACATTGCATCCTACTTCCACATAGGACTGTAGTTAGTTGAGTGTGACATAAGACCAAGATGCCCTAGGTGGTCAGGTTTCCTTTCTAATAGGAAGGGACACATAGAAGTCCTATGAGGTATTGTGCAACATGGGCTACAAATAGAAGTGCTTATACAAGAATGCAATGCTTACAGGTCCAAATAGTGTTTAAGATTTTTATCTGATATTCTTCTTGCGGGTAGTTTATCGAAACTGACATGAGAGCATAATTAGACCAGAAAATCAGATGGAATGTTTTAATTGTCACAGAAGAAGAACCTATGTTGAGAAAAACATGACTACAAACATTCATGTTTTAAGTTCTATGCCATCTATGTATTCGTTAAAGATTGAGCAATGAAGTCTTGCCTTAACTGAAAGGGAGAGAGACAAGGCAACAGCCCCACGCAATCCAGACCAAGTGAGAATAGTGGCTTCTTTCCAGTCCAAACCATAGCCAAAGTAACGCAGAAATGGAAATAAGACTGTGACAACTACAAGACGTGATGCTTGTACAAAAACATAAAGAAGAATGAGGTATGCCCATGAAGTTCCTGAAAGAAAGGAAAGGAAAAAGAATCCAATCAGATCCCTTGACATGGAAAAGGTTCAACCAGAAAAAAAGAGACATTTAATAAAATAATGAGAATATTCTATACATAGGAAAGGAGGCAAAAAGAAGGTCTAATAAAATGGCATCAACAAGATTATTCTTTATATCAAATCAACATCTCTTCCTGAAAGTATTATATTCTGAATTTTACTTAAATCCTAAATTCAAACTGGCTAAGTGATGTGGGCCCAAATAATTTTCCGTATTGGAATTTGATTTAGTTTTCTTCCCTTTTAGATTTATCAGATATCAGGTGATATTAATCGCTTTGTCCTATTAGATTATAATTTCCTACTTAGAACCTATGACTACTCGAGGGTTTTCAGCATACAAGTTCGTTCCCTTCTCTTTTAAGACAGCTTGCCTGTTTGATGTATCAGTAAATTTGAGAAAGGTCTCTATTTCTCATGCCTCCAAGCATGTCTTCAAGTATTAGTGTGATCTCGAATTGTGTTGGAGCATAAAATCGTAGGCAGTACAAGTTCTTTTAACAAGTTTTATAAATGAAGCAGCTGAACCATATATTCTTATAAATCAGTACAGAGAGGAATTTTCTTGTATTGCGTGGAGGAGTGGGTGGCTGAATGCCTGATATTCCTCAGGGCTATCATGACATTACTTGGCAGGTTAAAGGACTTTGTTGATCTAACTGTCAAGCAGAGGTGTGGAGAGTAACGTTCTTCTCAGGACTCATTACTGAATTTTCATCATCTTGAAGGGGATATCATCCATGCTCAGAAACCTTGTGGAAAGGATTCAAGCAACAGGTTCAAGACTGCATGCAGAAGGTGAGCATATGCAACAAGCTGGAGGATTGGTGGTTTCCAGAAGTAGTTTATCATTAGCATGAGGATAGGATCATATTGAGTGATCAGTAAATGGCTCAAGAAGCTTAAAGGCAAGAAAATGAAAAGGAGGGAAGCAAAATAAGTTTTCATTGAAAATGGAGTCATTGAGAATATATGTGGATAGGTTTCATCCAATCTAGGGGACAATGGATGTTTAAAAAATCAGTTCCAGCTAATCTATAGATCAGGTAAGATCTTAACTAGATAATTTAGCCACCTCATAACTTGCCATTAGGGCTAGTGAAAGAAACAGGAGTTGGATCTGAAAACAAAGTCAGTATAAGTCTTTTTAGTGGTACAATGCAGTTACATGCTAGTGAAGAGCTTCTGTGGAGCTACAACTTTTCTTTATCAGCTTCCACGTTATTGTGGGGGTTAACACGATCCATTCGCCTAAATGATAACTCCTTGTCAAGAGAAAATGAAAATGAATAACTACAAAAGTGAAGAGTGGAAGAACTCAAAAAAGTAAGAGACTAAAAGAAAGTAAAGTCGACTCCTACCATTTTATTTTCTACTGATTCAAGAAGACAGAGGATAAACTTCAAGTATAATACTAAATATAACAGGAATAGATGCAACAGTTACCATGTTCAAAAATCTCTCCACCACTGAGAACACCTTCAGCAATTACAACTCCACTGCAGAGCAAAATACAAATAAATAGTTACCAATATTGTCAGCATAATTCAAATGGAAAGCAGGTCATTTGTGCTAAAACTTTAGTGTCTTTAAGATGGCACTTTTTGCATTTTACTTTTTAGCTTATGGCTTTATCGTAGTTTTTGGAGTTCATTTTTTTAAAACTGTAGTAAAGGCCATACCGGATGGTTGACAGGTACACAGTTAACCAGCTAAATAGACTAGTTTGATATTAAGCATGTTCATCCCAGGGCTATGTGGGATGCTTTCTTCATATATTCCTTTAATTAATGCTTGTCTTACAATATACAAGGAAAACTAGCTCGTAGCATTTTTGAAGAGTTCACGACTAGTTACACCTTCAGTTGCAGATCAAAGTGGAAACATCTTATATGTTCTTCTACCATCATTCTTGCTCAGCTTAAGGATGACCTTTTGCGGGGTATGCACAAGGGACGTGCAATAAGAACGTTAATTTCATTTTGTAGTGTCAATATGCAAGAATAGACACTGGCAAGTAAAACAAGGACTCACCTTAAGATAAAAATCAATGTATTGGCAATGTAAGCAACCATCTCCCTGGATGGTAAAGGTAGCACTAATGTCAAAGAAAGCTCAACAAATAAATCACAATACACAATCTGACCATATTTCTCCCGAAAAGACTAGACCTCAGATTAATAAGGTGTTTACTAGTCATATCACTTTTTAAATGCAGCATGACTGAATCTATATAACCTAAATGCGATACCGGTGCATTTTTCCTTTGATAGAATATACACTACGAACAGCTGATAGGCAGGATGCCCTGCTTTTAGGGAAGATAATCTGTGTTCCAAATTTCGCATGGTTGAGTCTAATAGCACAAACTCTAAAAGTAAGTACAGCAGTACTCTCTGTTTTGGAAGCAAATTACTGTACTCTTGAGGCATTCAGCATGATCAGCAAGAGATTAGCCAAACAAAATCGATTATGGCAACAATCAAACTTGCTATCACCAGTTAAGGGAAACTGTAGATACCTTCTAAATACTCCATTACTTGCAATCTTCCAACCTTTTCAATTTTTGCAACTATCTCCTGTTCTTTACGTTCATTGAAAATAGAGGGTAGAAAATTTCAGTAGAAATCTATGGTCTTTGGTTAATTTTGTGCAGGATTGAATACTGAAGATTGAAGTCAATCTAGTCCCACTGCCAATTCCATCCAGTCAAGCTCTCAAATATGCAGTTTCCACAAGAAAGAATCCATGCGTGACTATGCAAGAGTGCACTTGGTATTACATCTGATGCACTCTAACCCAGCGCAATATCTTCTAAAAGAGTAGATACAGTTTCAACTACCACAAGAAAATTCAATTAAGATGAAGCGGCTCAAACAAAACAAAAGGCTCACCAAAAGTGATGTAAACTTTCTTGACCGTCACCCTTAAAGGCTGTTTTAGCAACTGCAGCATAGAACCTGCCAAAGTCGATCATCTGAAGAGATGTTTCACTAAAGTCATAAGAAAGAAACTTTGCCATGGCAATTCGACTTACATTCCTAGAGTCATCACTGTCAAAACACCAGAAACATCGATGCCCTCTTGAGCCTGATAAAAACAACAGATTTTTGTCAGTCTTCTTTGCATAGCATGAAGATCTTGGAAATTTGCTTGACTACTAATTTTCCTATTCATTCATATGGCTTATCAGGACAATGGAGATAATTTGAACTATGGAAAATTAAAAGCTTGATGCACATGAACAAACAAGGAAAACTTCCTTACTGAAAAGATGAAAAAGAAACCCCACCAGAAATTTCTAGCTTTCAGAAAATGTCAACCCCTCAGACCTGATCAGTCTTAAGCTATTACCCACAACAAGGAGCCTTCTTGCAATTGCAAGAGATATTTTTAAAATTTACTCCTACAAAGAGAGTTCTCAAGCTGAGCACCAGGCATTGGTGATTGACGTCACACCTGTGGGGCCATTCAAATAAGACCAATAATGAAAGGAGGAAGGACAGACAGAACTAGTTAACAATGGTCACAGATCCATGAATCATATGAAGGGATGACAACACGGGCTGTACAGCTAATGTAAATGATTCAGCAATCACATGGTACACGAGAAATGCTATCCTCATTGCATCTGGCGTGCAACATAACTCTCTCCCAAGTAGATGCTAGGACTCTCATTTAAACTACAATCATCTACCTGCCCACTGCCATACATCGAAATTACCTGACAAATACGCCTATAGTAAAGCAATTCTATGGAAAATAACCGAAATACATCCTCACATGGCTTTTTAAGTAGACTACAAATCCTAATATCCAGAATTTTGACTTGAAGAATGGTAATTAATTGAAGATGCGTACCAAGAAATACTCATACTGGCAAGACCTGAAGATCCAATTCTTACCAGATGACAATATATTTAGAAGTTTTATAAGACCAGGTGAAATAATTGCCTGAAGTATAGAATATATCTAAAGGGAGATGAGAGGACAACAAACAAACAAACAAACAAAGAATATAGGTCCCAACCTCATGCTAAAGTAACTTATCATCGTTGCAACAGCTTAAGATAAAAATGGATCAATTGACTGGCCAATCCTTGGCATATAGAATTATTTAATCTCCTAACGTTATGAGAACTGATCAAATGGCAGGGCAGGCCTGGCTGGGGCCCAAGGTCAGGCCTAACTTTGATCGCAGTCCAACCATTTCAACAGGTACATCTAAATAATTCTGGCCAGGATTTTCAACATAAAGCACTCTCCCAAGCCCATCCATTTGCATTTCGAGCCCTGCCGAGCACGGCCAACCACAAAGCCTATGATCAGATTTACCAGTCTCAGGCCATTGCTATGCTGATTCTTTGATACAAGACAAGCAACACATACTTATAGCTGAGTATGCAACAATTTGCAGATATCAAGTGTTTATGAAATGCAACAACAAAGCTCTCCATTCAAAAACATTAATCCCTGCTCCCTCCATTTGTGAAGGCTTGTTGACCCAGCTGAATGTAAGGATTATCTCGGTACCTATGCACACATACTCAGAGACACACACCCCAAAAAACAACCTTAAATGTATAGCAAGAGACCCAGGAAGACTGGGTTTAATGGACATAAAGCAGCAAGGAAAGAGGACACTAGTGTCTCAAGCAGTCCAGAAATAGATTAGCCACACATTAGTCGAAGTCCTGATAAAGAGAACCATACAATAGAACCAGCATATATATAGAAAGCCACCACAACTGTTTCGGCAATAGATAGTTGATAAAGTTTGAGAAAATTGTTAAGGGTGTGGTACATACCGTGAAGTAAGCGATGTAGCTCACAGCCAGCGTCAAAGTAATTTCTATCACTGTATCGTTGAAAATAAACCCGAGCCATAACACAGAAATTATTCCAAAGGCAAGACCTATGCATACACTAAATGGGAGAAAGAGTCAGATAACCAAGAAAATTAGAGTTTCAGTAGCCAATGCTAATGAGATACCTACGCGCCAAGTGAGACTTCAGTTAGAAACTTTAGTATGGATGCCCAGTTAAAACTCTTGCCAAGAACCATCTTAAAAAATAGCTGATAAACCACGATCGCTGTCCTGAACATGGATAATGAAAAGTTCAGAACAAAGTGAATTAGCAAAGATGTCATATATCAAAAGAATAAAAAGCTTAGTTCATCTAAAAACATGATTGCTATTCACTAGCACATATCGAAATATATACCCATCATTCATCAAGGACTCTCCCTCAATTATGGTACTTAGTTTTTTGCTAGCACCAAGCTCTTTCAACAGAGCAACTACAGCAACTGGATCAGTAGCACTCAGAAGTCCCCCAAGCAGCAGACAAGTTTTCCAATTCCAGTCGTATGGGAAAGTGAGCTGCATGATCACAGAAAGAGCTAACTAAGTTCTTGAAACAGAAAAGGTGATCACATCCGTTGCAAGTTCTATTTCAGATTTTCAAGAATAGCTTCAAGCAGAATACCTTCAGGGCAGACCCAAGACAGAAAGTTGATATGAGAACACCAGGACCCGCTAGCAAAATCATTTGCATTATACACCTCTGCCCATTTAAAACAAAACTAAAAGAAATGAGAACTGCCTTATTGGATGTCCAAGAAAGTGCAAGAAGGATATGTAAATCACATAAAACCTAGTTCCAACAGAAAGAGTCAGTATCATGCACAAACAAGGAAATTGTTTGAGAAGTGGTTCTTCCACACTGAGGCAATACTATGGGTCAAGGAGCCAACGTTTTAACTCATATTACCTAAATCTTAGATACATTTTTACCAAAAATTAAAAACAGATCAACAGACTATAAAGCTCGGTCTCCTATGAGGCCTATGCGGTTCAAGATTGCCATTCGATCCAAAACGGTGATAGTACTGCAAACTCCATCCCCAGTGGACCACTACTTTCACCAACTCCATCACCACAAACCTTCACTACCACCAATTGGACTCTTATACCATCACCATATCCATCAATGCATCATCGTTGCGACTAGCAGCACCGATTCCACCAACTGAACTGTTATACCACCCCCTCCATCACTCTACTACCCCACAAGTCCACATGCACCCTTCCAATCTCTCCACTACCTTCACCTCTCCATGGTGACACTCTGATACAAATTGAAAGGTGAATATTCAACTAAGATGATATCAAATTCAAGAACTCTTGGGTGAGCCCAATTATCAGCAACCATATAAGTTTATTTACAGCGGTCCTAAGTAGAAAGGACACAGGTTGCCTCATACTTTTCCAGAACTATAAGCCCTGAGAAGTTGTTGTACAGTCACCGCTGTCATAATATGAGGCTAGCCTATGGGTATCAGCCTGATATTTGAATGTGTAAAATGCCCACCTAATTATAACAACTAGATGGAAATCCTCATGCTTTTCACAAGAGTAGGGTAAAGAACAGCGCCATTAGTTTCAAAACAAAGTCCAAAACCACAATGTCATGGGAAAGGAACAAAACCACAATGTTTTTTACAATGCCAAGGTGAACTCAAATAGAACAAGAAGATGCAAAATACGAAGTAAACCTTTATTTGATGTATTTCCATTGAAAATGAACTTTCGAAAAGAAGGGCCGGCAGAAAAACAGCCAAGAGAAGGTCAGGATCAATACCTGCCCCTGCAAGTTCACATATTGACAAAATGTTACTGCTATATCTCAAACAATTTCATACAAATAAACACCAGTTTCTCGGAAGCCTATCTGTAAATGCTTGGGATTTCAATTTGATCCAAAAAATTAATAGCACTCACAAAGACGAATGCCATCCCCTATCTTCCCCAAGTGATGATGCGTACCATACTCTGCATAACAGTAGAAGATGAACATATAACAGTAGCTATATCAGCACTTCCAGCAGTATTAGAAGGATTCGATTAACTAGACAAAGTGTCCATGAAATTCTAGAGAAGATTTTCAGAGCAAAATATTTTGCTCAAAAAAGTTAAGAATAATTATCCATCCTGCATATAAATACGAAATTGGCTGTCCGAGGACTACAAATCAAGCACCGGGCAAACTAATAGTAAAAGCTATCTGAATATAGCAATCAAATCGCGAGGCACCTGCAAGAAGCCCGAGAACACTCTTTCTTACTATTTAAGAAATATTATAATTCCACGCAGAGATTTTCCTTTTAATGCGTAGAGCCTCCCAGGCGTGTGTCATTTTATAGCTAGAAAACAACCGGAGAGAAACACACTCGGCATCGGCGAGCTAATCAGAGTCGACATACAAGCCATGTGCCGGCGCGAGACTAATCCCCTCCCATGTTCATGTGCACTAAGTATGCCAACTTGTTCCTTTCATTATACCATTGATCACTTTCTTCTCGCATCGAAATTTAGTCAAACCAGAGAGAGGAGCGGACAAACATCTAAAAGCTTCATCCATAACATCCATGACAGCGATCACATGTACTGATGTACATAAGTTATTCCAATAGAACCTATTTTTTATCATCGACATTTAGCTTTTCTGGATTCATGTTTCACGAATACACGGTTCAACGAAGTGAAAAAATTCAGCTGACATTAGCAGAAGAGCGTTTACCAGAAAACAAAAGTTTTTACATTGAATAAGAAAACGAATCCCAAACTATAGTCTGCAGCTTCTAATTCTCCAATTTAGCGCTGCAGATGCCAAATCTCCATAAATAAAATAAAAAAACACTTAACAACTGACAAAAACAGTCAATCCAGAGCGGTTTAAATTCACAAAAGCTCGGGAAGGGCGACAACGCTAGGCTCAGCGTTGACTTTTTCTTTTTCTTTTTTCCGCCCTCCAAGCTGCCTAGCGTCGCGACGATCCACTAAACCAGTCCAAAAAAAAGCAGAACCCCCGGAACCAAAGAAGAAAACGAAGCGAAACTCCGATCACCCGGCGGGCGCCCCCTCGAATCGCAAAGCGGGAGGAAAAAGAGAAGAAGAAGGGCAGGGGGGGCGGGAATCGAACCGATGGATCCGAGAGCAATGCCGAGGACGAGGAGAGCGACGGTGTAAGGCACGCGCGTGCCGCGGAGGAGGTGGCGGCAGGCGATCCCGAGCACGAGGCAGACCCCGACGAAGAGGACGGCGTCCGTCGGGTTGGAGGAGGAGGAGGAGGAGCTCTCCGCCGCCTCGGCGTCGGCCAGTATCCGGAAGGGGAGCAGCAGCAGCTCCCCGTCCTCCTCCTCCTCCGGGAGAGCAGCCGCCATCCGCAGGAAGACCCCGAAAGAGAGAGAGAGAGAGAGAGAGAGAGAGAGAGAGAGAGATCCGATCGGTATCTTCTATCTTCCAGCCGGCGATGGCGAATGAGGCGAGGAGGAGGAGCTGCTCCTGCCCTTTGCTCTGGCTCACAGCTCGTGGGGGTAGGGAGAGCGAGGGAGGGGGAGAATCTCGTGGGAGAAAATATGCGCGGGGGGGAGGGGGGGGGGGGTGGTGACGCAAAACAAAAGGGAAGGAAGCGAAAGGGGAGAGAGAGAGAGAGAGAGAGAGAGAGAGACAGCGACGGGTGCTGGTTTTGGACTTTGGGGGAGGGGGAGGAGGAGAGAGAGAGGGAGCGGTGAAAATCTTCCGATGCCGATCTGAATTCTTTTCAAATTTCATCTTTTTGTACCCCCGGCAGGCAGATCCATCGATGGCCATGGCTGGCAGCCGCCTTGCGCTGGCACTTCTCGTAACCATCACTTCCGTTCATTTCGTTATTCTTAACCATTTTTGGTGTGGTCAAATAAATAATAGATATATATATATGTTCGCGCGTTTTAATTTATGCCGTAAACTAAAGCTTCTTGGAAACCCAAATGTTTGCTTACTAAGATCAGTACGCATGTGATAAATTTATCTCGAACTAATTTTTTTACGGCTGAAAACCCCAAACTCCGGTACGCCCATGACAATTTTACTCTCCGTTAGTTTCCTTCAAAATTTACCATCAAATTGCTGAGTTTGATGGCACGTGGTGGATGACGGGTTCACTAGTTTAGGTTTTTCATCCTCCGTTTGTCACGGGTATACCAGTTTATGATTTTTCATGGTATTGATCCAATTTAACGGAAGGTAAATTTGTCACAAATATATCAGTTTAGGATTTTTGGTAGTCAATAAATTTGTCACGGGTGTACCGGTTTGAAACTTTGGTGATCAAAAAATTAGTTTGAGGTAAATTTATCACAGGTGTACCAGTTTGGGGTTTTTCGCGGTATTAACCCTTAAATATTTACCCATCGGCTTCCATTTGATGTCTGTAAACACTCGCCGATCTTCAACCGGCGGCTAGGCCGAGTTCGCTCTATCTCGCTTCGCTCGGAGACGAACAGGACCGGGGAAATCTGGCTCTCCAAGTACTTGCGCCAAACAAGAATCGAGCGAAAAGGGTGAGCGCGATGTCGAGATGGAAGTTGTCGCGAGCGAATTGCCGGCGAAGATACGGGGCTCTCTTCCGGTCCCCGTCGATTCGTGGGAGGGGGAGGGGTTTCCGTTTCGGAAGAAGAGCGATTCAATTGGACCTTGCTTTCGAGCATTGTGGGTGAAGATTAGGTCTTTTGGATTTGCTACACGCGAGTGCTTTGTGATGGATAAAGAAAAACATGCTGGGGGAAGATTTGGGTGATAATTAATAGTTACTGGGATGATACGTAAGTGTAGTTCTAGTGGCATTGATGATAAGTAGGGGTATGCAACCGGATCGGCCCACCCGAAAAATAGGTCCGGGAACCGGTTCTAACAAAAACCAGTCCAGGAACTTGTTCCATTTTTTGGTTACCGGTTATAACCGGTCCGGTTTCTGGTTCCAAGTAAAAATCGACCCGGACCGGTTTTAGAACCGGTATTAAAATAATGTAAAAAAAAGTAAAAACCCTAGATCACGTTATCCTACCCGGCTACCCAGTCTGTCTCTTACGGTTTCTCTCTTCTCTCTTCTCAACTTCCTCTATCTCTCACGGTTTCTCTCTTCGCAAGCAGCTCCTCAGTCGCCGTAAGAACGCAACCCAGCTCATCGCCTGCCTGAGTGTTGAAGAGGGCTAGGGTTCGGTCATCTCGGCGTTCGTATCGTGTGTGTGTTTTTTCCGCCTTTTTGGCTCGCCGATCCGGTAAATCTTTTACTTTGAATCATTTCATTACTACCATTATGATTTTGCTGGAAAAAAATGAAACCAGAAAAAGGAACAAAAAAAAAAATAGGTTCTCGGGTAAACCCTGAAATCGGACCGAAAAAACAGGGTCGGTTCCAAAACAGGGTCCAGGGAAAACATGATAGGTTTCAGGTTCCAAAAATTGAGAACCGGTTATAACAGGGTTGGTTTCTGGTTCCAGGTCTGGACCCAACCCACTCTGGAATCGATCACCCCTAATGATAAGGTCCAAGAAAGCAGCCTCCCCCGGCCGATCGACCTCGGTACGTCAGTGGCAGCCCTTTTGATGTTGATTCCTCGCTGCATCGAGGCCGTCGATGACCGGGCCAGTCAAATTCCCTAGCAAATTGAGATCGTTTGTACACGATCACGTAACACACCCGAAGGGCACAGGGATAGACACGAACTTAATACAGCCGACGATTTCTCATCGTATCAAGGCTGTCGATGACCGGGCCGGTCAACCTCCTGCGCGGATCGACACCGTTTTATGCACGATTAGGGTAACGCATCCGAAGGGCACGAGGATCGGCACGAACCTAATATACGGCGGTTCCCAGTGACACAAGTACATAGCACGATCACGGAACGCGGACGCGCGAGTTGTCGATCTCATCTATCGTCGTGCGCGCCGAATATAGGATCTTCTCCGTGTAAGTGATTATAATTTATAATATATCTATCTTTTCCCACGAAATTTAAAAAAAAAAAATCGAAAAAAAAGGGGAAAAAGCACGAGCACTTTAATAAAAAAATCGACTTAATTTGTTTTCGAAACTTTACACTTTCACTTTTTACACGCAGTCCACGTCAGACGCCCCCCCGCCAGTTGCGTACTCCTCTTTGTAATCAACGCCCCTTCTGTTTTTTGTCGGGTTTAGTCAAACTTTATTAGTTTGACTTCAGTCCATTTCCCTCTTGCTTGTGGGCACCTAATCGTGATTATCTATATAAATACATTATTATAAACTATTTTCTAAATATAATTTAGAAGCTGGACACGTGGACTCTATATATTAAAAAATACATTTTTCCTCGGTCCGAGATTTTTTTTATGTCAATAATTTTTCAGCCGAAAGGGGAATTAATTCCGTAACTCCTGTTATCTTCTGGTTATTTCTCTCCACGACGAGTTATAATGTCTAGGAGCTTTTTAAACGTTATCGAGTGTGTGGTTTGGGAAACTAATTTTAGTTAATATGTTGCGTATTAAGTATGATTTTATTCTTCGCTTTCTTTTAATTTCTGTTTGATTCAAGTGTAAAACCACGACTTGTTTTTGACGTTTCCATCGATTCAATACCAGGACGTGCATTTACGCGCCGACTTTTATTTCAAGTGTTCCCGGCACAATTATATTCAAGAAAACACATCTCAAACATTAAGCTTTCAAATATTATAACGATGTGTAATCTTCTGTCTTATTTCTATTCCGCGAGTTGCCGTCTAGTTTTTATGAGAACCCCACCGAGCTCAACGGTTCTTCTCGAATGTTATCCTAGAGTCTCGCGATGGTTAAGGAATATCAGGGTCGAGCAAATGCATTGCGAATGTTTAGTTTAGATTGCAACTTTCGAGCGCCGCCGGTAATTCAAAAGCCGGAGATTGGCGAGCGGGTCACTAGGTACGACCTCCCCCGGCGCCAAGTCGTGTTCCTCATGAAAATGGAAGACAGATGAGCGCAAGAGGAGTAGAAAAAAGAAAGTAAAGTAAAATAATGATATCATCGGGTGGCCAAAATCAAAGTTAGGTCTATGGCTTTTTATGTTTTGTGGCCGAAAGTTAGGTCTATTGTTTAACTTATCTGTTTTGCGTAATCACCAGAAGCAAGTGTCGAACATGTGCAATGCACGGCTACTTCTTTTTCGCTAATTGAATATTTTGCTTTTTATGTAAAGATGGTTTTGTAAAGTTAGGTCTTTTCGTGAAAAAGGAAATATATATCATGTTAATTCCTATCTCGGTTCTGTATCTTGGACGCATGCACGCACGCACATTTATTATTTGCACATTTAAGTAAGGAGAAAAAAATTCATTTAGTTGAATTTAATTAGTTAAGGGGGCTTATAAAAGTATTGGGTTAATACTACGAAAAACCACAAACTGGTACACCCGGGACAAATTTACCCTCCGTTGGTTTCCGTTAAATTTTACCGTCAAATTGCTGAGTTGGATGACACATGGTAATTGACGGGTGTACCGATTTGGGGTTTTACCCCTCAATTTGTCACAAGTTTACCAATTTGTGATTTTTTTTTGTATTAATCTAATTTAACGAAGAGTAAATTTTTCACAAGTGTACCGGTTTAAGGTTTTTGGTGGTCAAAAAATCAATTTGGGGTAAATTTATAATAAGTGTACCGGTTTGGGTTTTTGATGGTCAAAAAATTAGTTCGGGATAAATTTGTCACATGTGTACCAGTTTGGGATTTTTCGTGGTATTAATCCAAAATTGTTTGGTTCCATCATTTCTAAATTATTAATGCTAAATATTTTCAACTCTAAAGTAACTAGAATTTGCTTGCCTTTTTTCCTTACATTGTCAATTTTTGTAATAGTATATTGTAAATGGTATTTATACGTTTTATCATCTCCCACCTTAATTAAATATTTTTTAGCTTTCTATAAGACCTTAAATATATAGTTTTCCTTTCATGTTTGGACTCTTTAGTGGTTTTTATTCAAGGGAATCCTTATATAAAACAAAACAAAAAAAGAAGAATAAAAAGTCAAAGCTCGCCTAACACCCATCAAATCTGTGGACCATGAGCACTTGGGAGAACGGGCACTTATGATACTGAGTGCCCATTTGGCAAGTTACAAAATAGTGAAAATTTTTATTCTTTTATTTTCAGAATCAGTTTTAAAACAAAAATCCGTTTGGTAAACTTTTTGTTCCCGGGCACAAATTTACAAAAAATTGTTCCTAGAGTCAGTTTTGAAACAAAATCAAGAAGCAAAAAAAAGTAGCTTCTTGATTATAAGAACAAAAATCAGAATTGAAAAAGAAATTTTTTTTCCTTCTTCTTCTTTCCTGTTCTTTACTATTCTTATTCTTCTTCAATTCTTCTTGCTTGGTCGGCCACCGGCGACCGACAACACAGGTGAGGGTCGGTGCGGC